GGGCTGATTTTAAAAAAAACTGGAGGAAGAAAGTTGGTTGTCCACCAATAATTCTTCACTTTCAGTTTTCTAGTAGGTTGTACTTGATGGGCTTGTGTCTTTTTTTTCAACCTGACTAGGTATGTAACTACGTAAGATATACATTTTATTAGCAATATCAACAACACCTGAACTGGCTGGGATTTCATTGGTTGCATAGTTGAAAAACAGAGTTTTTTCAACTATGGCAGTACAGTAATTTTGCTAAAATATACGTTGAGGACAGCGTGCTGAATATTAGACGTGTGTAATTAGTTTCGGAAAGATTCGTTATTTGGAGGAATTTTTGGAAATTTGTACATTTGGATGCATATACGAATTTCCGAAAGACAGAAATAACTAAACCAATACAAATTTCTGATAATGAAAATGTCAGATGCATCCGAATTTATTTCCTGAATGAAGTTTTATTGCGTTAAGCATCAACTTAAAAAAAAAATTCCACATTTTTGTTAGCAGTAGTATGCAGCAAAGTGACATTAGACAAAAGGGATTTTTTTTTTTACAGTCCGCGGAACAAAAAAACCCTGTGAGGTTGCCCCCTAATTGATACCAGACCCTGGTAGAAATGTTAGAAGGGACCCACCCAAGTTAAAAATAAAAAAAAAACTGCATGGGGTTCCCCTCAAAAGTCATACATACACACCACACATTTTGAAAAAGTCCTTTAATTGAAAAAAAAATCAGTCGGTTTTTTGACAGGTCCATTATTCAAATAAAAATGGATCCATCGAGGTAATCCAGCAACAATCACGATGAACGACTCCCTCTGACTCGCCGAAATAAGCTCACAAATACTATGCATATGACACCTCGGCTCCCAGACACAAAAAGCATTTGGTAGCTCCTACATGCTATTGTGTTATATGACAGCTCAGAATGTCAAATGGGCGGAACAAGTCCTGCAACATTCATGGTTCGCTCCACCCATTTATTTACATTCGGGCCAGAGCTGTCATTTTGCAGCGTGTCTTCGTAGGATTCGGACTGGTCGTCATGCATTGGGACTTTTTTTTTTATTTCGGCAGGTCGGCAGGCATTGTTCATCGTGATTAACGCTGGATTACATAGATGGATCCATTTATTTATTTTTTTACAATAAAGGAATTATCAAAAACAGACTCTTCATTTTTCTTTCAATTAACTACCTCCGGGCCGGCCAGGAGCGCTCTAGATCTGAGCGGGCATCTTTAGACGTCCGCTCAGACACGCCCCCTTGCGCGCGCCGCCGGGCGTGCGCGAGCGGAAAATGGCCGCAATTTAAAAACGGGCAGCGATGCCCGTTAATATACATGCGATCCGCCATACTGAAAAATGGCCTGGCCAGGAAGGGGGTCTAAACACCTGGTCTTGAAGTGGTTAAAGGACTTTTTCAAAATGTGTGGTGTGTTTATTTACATTTACTTTTAACCCTTAAGTGAAAGAGTAGGGGTACCCCTTAGTCATTCAAAAGGGGGGCGCCATCCAGGTGCCCCATTAATTAAAGGGGTACCCTGATGCAAATAAGGAGGTCCCTCCTAACATTCCTTGCGGGGGAACCTCATGCTTTTTTTATTTTCTTCTGTGGACTGTCCTTTTGTCTAATGTCACTTTGCTGCAACGAAAGTTCATTCATAACGAAAATTCGTACATACTACTGCTAACGAAATTAACTAAAATTTGGATTGTGTCCAAATCCCGAAACAAATTGACTTTCGCATCCGAATCCCGAAAAACAAAATAACGAAAAATCAGAATGAAAACAAAATGAAACAAATTTTTGGGACGGTGCACATGTCTACTGAATATATATAATATACGGTAAGTGTTCTTATAAATGAGAAAACAAAAAGAGTAACAGATATATACTTTGTAACAGTATGCAAAGTATGCTTTTTATTTAAATTATATTAATTAGAGTTCCTTTTATATAGGGGCACAGCATGATATTAGCACAGTTTCTGGTTCAAAATTTAACATTAAGGAAACATTTTAATATACAGGTAAAATATATATATACTGTATGTGTTTTACCTGTCACTCTTCTGCCACAATGCATAGCTGGGTAGGTGACAGCCTTTTGATTCTCTGCCTCAAGACAGCTCAATTATCACCTATGCTGGTTGAACAGGGAACATGACCTAGCAAGCTAAAGCTGAACTAGAAAGTAGTTGAGATTTTCCTGATTTTCCTGACTGTGAAGTACAGCAGAGGTCCACACTGCCAATTCCATTAGCAGGTAAAACAGCTCCCACATATTACATATAAATACTGGAGCAGACAAAAACTGGAGCAGATGTGCATGGCAACCAATCAGCTTTTTCAGTTAAGATTTGAAAATGAAAGAGAGAAGCTGATTGGTTGCAGTGCACAACTGCTCCAGTTTTTGTCTGCTCCAGTTTTGATAAATTCCCTTCTATGTATTTAGCTGTTGGCCTGCAATTCCACTTTAGGCAATAAGTTGAGCATATCAAATATTTCCAGGCTGACATTTGTTTCGTTGCTGTAAGTCATATAAATTGTTCTATATATTATTTATTGCACTGAATGACTTAAACACATGGCAGTCTATTGCTAAATATATTCACATAGTCAAGACAAAACAGAATCTTTTCTTAGCAATGGTGACCATATCTAAGAACAGTGTCAGTATATAGAGCTTTCCTAATTAATTTGTATAGACTAAAGGTTAAAAATAATTTGCCTCTATGTAGCAAGCATTGACTGTCATAAATATGGGCCTGCTTTATAAAAACTGGAGCAAAGAAAAGGATTGTTAACACAAAAGCCAACCAGATACCGTTTTAATCCACCTTGACAAACAACTGTGATAATTAGAATAGCTACTAAGGGCAACAATTCACATTCCTGTTTTTTAATTTCAGCCTTAACATAAATCCAGTGCAAGATAGAGTAGACATGTTATTTTAATTTAACTGCCAATGGAAAATTTAATATCATCATTTATTTATCTCATATTTATCAGTGCATGCCTAGAAAGAATGTGTAGATCGTCACATGGTTCTGTTCTCTTAACTTGTTAAGGGAACATGTATATGATGAGTGCATCTTATGTCACAGGCAAAACCGGAGCACAGAGATGACTGCTGCTAACAGAATGCTTCTTCCTCTAGGTTCCTCTGGGATGAATCTGGAGAAATGGAGAAACACCATTAATAAGTATGCTATGTATGGCCCATTAAATGGTATCTCTACAATAAAACTCATAATTTCTAATAGGCAGTTTCACATCCTTCACAATTCCAGGTAGCATGCTTGCAGCCTTTAGCCTCCCTGGTCTTCATAAATACTATTTACTGGAGTGGGTACCATTCTTACAATTTCTAAATCTAAAGGATGCTTGTAAGGATCAAAATCTTTACTTAATTTAAAGCGGACCTTGCATGAAGGCCCTGCAACCACAATTAAAAAATGGGTGCCCCTAAGTTATTGTAACCTCAGTTGTTACAATAGTGCAGCCTAACTTAGCAGAAATGTGGCTGTAAGAGCCGCATGAAAGCTGACCTGTCTCCAGTCTGTGCTCCGGGCTGAAAAATGACATTCAGTCTTGGGAAACACCACTCTGGCCTCCCATTATGCCTCACACTTAACCACCATGGGGCAAAAGCCACAATCCACCATCCAAGGATGCATATCAGCAGGATGGCAGCACACAATGAATCCCCTGTAAATGTATCATCAGTTGATACTGAAAAGTCCATAAACGGAAAGCCTGCTTACATGTTTCAGCCCTACTGAGCCTTAGTCATAGCATGCCCAGTAGGATTTAGCCCAGCATGGCTGCAACATGCAAGCAAGTGTTGATTTATGGACTTTCTAGTATGAAATAAAGAAATATTTGGAGTAGATTGTTTGTTTGCTGCTATTCTGCTGTCAACTAATAAATTAAACTCTCTCGACTAGTGGAAAAGAATAAAACTTCCTACTAACAAAGCATGTCATTTTCTTATATCTCATCCTGACAACACCATTGTTATACAACCGTTGAGTGACAGTTCAGCACTGAGCTCAAGCTGGAGATAGGATAGCCTTACAGCCTGATACTCAACCTGGCACTTCTGCTCTGCCAGGGAGAGAATACAAGTAAATGGTGGCAGCAACATCAAATGCATAGGGCATACGGAGATAAAAATTATCCGACCAGAGAACTGGACTATGTATTTTAATTGTGCTTGGGACTCCACGTTAGTTAAGAACAATGTTTAAAATAAGTATGTAAAGCATTTGAAACACGCCATAGCAGCAAAATAAAATGATTTACTTTGCTGACCATCTAGTAGCATGAACACAAATATGAAGCAGTAAGACTTTCAGTTACTGCATGTTCTTTGTACAAGAAAACCACAATGATACAAGAGTATTTTCTACGTGACGTGACAATACATTGCAATGAACTTTCTGTTGCTCAGAAGGGGACATGGAATCAGTGGAAATGCTCTGACAGCTCTTAGATGAAAACTAATTGAAAAGAAAATCTTGATTTTTTTTTTCTTGTTTTTGTTCTATTGTAGGCCTTCATGGTTAAAATATACCAAACAGATTAGCTGAAAATCTCCTCGGATCATTTGAATCTTTTATATAAAAGCAGATTAGAGGTATCCTGTAAAAAGAGAACTTGCAATTGCCAAATGAAGCCAGAAGTCCAAATTTGCATACTTTTTCTAGGTCAGTAACACAGGATTGGCATGAGAACCATGAAACTAGCCTTTTCAGAAGGACAGGTCTGCAGTAGGGGCCTACATATTTCTGTCAGTTCAGGCTTCCTTAAATGGTATCAGTCCTAGCTGATTTGAACATGAAAATTTTGATCATAAACTTGTCACCTTGCCATATCTTCCGGTGTTATGGTCAACAAACAGTGATATTTGATTTTGACTTTGCTTAGTGTACATTACTTATGACGTATTTCATAAAACACTGCCACTCTAATCGTACCTTCCAGTCTTATCACAAAGGGCGCTTTAACCTTTAATATTAAGTTTGAATGTCACTTTTCCCTCATATGGATCATGGATATTATCAGTAGTTATTCCATCAGCATGAACTGTACACACGACTTCAATCAACTTATTGTGTGGAACATTCACCAACTTCACTGCCACCACTGGATTGGTGTAGTTTGGCTGAAAAAGATTATAAATCTCTTTAGTAAATCTGACAAACCAATTAAACTGATGAAGATAATGTAATTGTGAAAGGTTACCTGAGCTTTCTTGCCATAGTACGGGAAGTACTGCAAGTTAAAGGATGCATCCTCGGGATAATATTTTACCTCCCACGGTACTTCTTTTGTCTGTGATTTAAAAGCATACATACAATTTTTTTTTATAAATGTCAGCCATATTGTATAATCTAGTTTTAACAAATCATTAGAAACTACAGTGTTTGTATAGCCAAAACAGTTGTATATAGTTTTTGATAGAGTAGGAAAGGGATAAAACCCCTGTCCATTTATTTTTTGCAGCAGTGTCCTGCTGTGTAAGGTTTTCCTCACTTCCTGTCCCAAAGATCCAAAATGAAGGAAATCACTACAAATTAAGGGAAATTGCCTTAATAGACAGCTGTCACTGGAACAGGTGTTCCTGGCAAATTTTCCTTGACCTCTTGTTCTGTGACAAATTAAAAATGTTATGTTTCCCATAACTTTCTGTCTTGATGACAATGGTCACCGGGTCAAATAGAGAATGTGAATCTACCTATCAGGGGCACAGACAGCAGTGAAAAACTTGATAACGTTTCTGATCTTGCCCTACTCTACTCAAAACAAAAAAAGGTTTTGGCTATACTTGGGGTTTCATTTACGTTTTCCACTGGAGGTAACACTCTCTATACTTTCACATACCCCAACACTCACTTTTTTTCCAGCCTAGAACCAATACCTATGACACATAAAGCAAAGTGTGATTTTCTGCAAAAGTTGAGTTAATTTAACTAGAAAACACAAACCTTTGGTAAGCATTCCAGTGTTGGAATTGAGTGATTCCGGGGTACAAAATGTATGATCTGAAATGAAAAATAATGGATTATGCAACAATATGTTTAAATTTAGTAAGGTCACCGATGTTAGACCTCAGATACCCCACAATTTTCTTTTTGCACTTTCAGAGACTGATCACCTTAAAGTCCATTTCCACCTTTGCGGACGTACTTTCAAAAAAACATATGCCAGCAATGTGCACCGAGTGTACATGAAGCAGCCATATGCAGTTGTTGTATATGAACATAAAAACTTACTTTTTATTGTCCTCCTTATCTCATCATGGCTCCTTTTGAAATGGCTACCTCTGTGCTTTGCCAGCAGCCTTTGTAAATTAACACTCTCTCTCAGTTCTCTTCCCCCTATTCATAAGTGTTCATAGTGGTAACCCTCCCTGGATAGTGTATTGGGACCTGGAAAGGTAGACCTGGTGTGCAGTGATCTTGTTACAATGACCCACAGGGAGGGGGTCAGCTGCTTTACAATGTGACTCCAGTGTCAGACTGAGTTTCCTGTGGAGGAAATGTTCAACTTGTAGGATTCAGTCCATAAAACATTAAGAAAGCCAGGAATGTGAATCATGAAAATGTACACACATATACATAATCTCTGTACCTCTACATTTCCACAATACATACTAATCTTACAAAGGTGGAAATGGGCTTAACCCTTTCGCTGCCAAGCCTTCTGGAATGCTTTTAACCTCAGCTGGCCACACCATTTTTGCAATGTTTCCCATTGTTTTGATTTCCTATTGCTGCGTTGCTAGCGTTTGTAAAAGACCCCCCCAAACCATATATTTTCTAAAAGCACAGGCCCGATAGAATAAAAAGATGGTGCTACTAGTTTTGTATGTCCTGTGGTAATTGTGCAAATGTTTGTCAAATCAATATTAAACCGATAAAAATACACAATTGAATTGATAAAGCACACTAAAATCAGTATCAGTGTACAAAAAATACCTTTCTGACTAAATCTAAAAGATAAAACTGTATTAAGTTAATAAATAACAAATATTTGTAAATTTTAAATTGCGCCTTTTGCGAAACCATAAAAAAATGAATGAACACAAAAGTGTAAATAAGCGACTTATGTTAGAAATCAGTTGATGCAGGCGAACATTTAATCACAACACAGCGCATAACAATGTGCGGCAATGCGTCACAACACTTTGCCATGTGCTGCCATATTTGAATGAATATTATTTTGAAAAGAAAAAAAATTAGCAAAATCAAGCACTGCGATGCGTTCTAACAAGGCAACTGCAGCGCATGTGCATAGCGTACCCCACAATATGGTGCACACTGTTGCAGGTGTATAATATATATATGTGTGTGTGTGTAGGGGGATTGTGTTTTTTTAAATAATTTTCTTTTAAACTTTTGAGGGGGGTGGGGCGCCCACATTTTTGGTTAATAACTGTCATCAGTGGTTTCTCAGCAGCTGATGACAGCTATTATTTTAAAGGGGACTGTCAGGGGAACTGTCGGGCAACCTTGAGCCTATAGCAGAAGAGAAAAAAGCCACCGACATTAGGTTTACTGAGCTGGCTAGCTGGAAACAGTTGTGTTCCACGGTAAGCCTTATGTCGGTGGCAGGGAAAGGGTTAGCCAATGCCAACTATTTTTTTTTTTAACTGTCCCCCCAACAGTTAATAAAAGAAAATATCTGGTGACAATGCTTACCTCCTCTCTGGCACTGGCCCTCGCAGAAGTTTCTTTTCACCATAAGATGACATCCAGTGTCAACCATGAAAACTGAGGACTGTGCCTGCAGAGCATTATGAACCTTCCTCCTGCATCACCACAGCGCCCTGCACTCACAGTGTAATGATACAATGAGCAACATAATGGGGGAGCGCAAAGCCCATAGTTGGGATTTAAAATCATAGGTGTATTTTTTATGATTCATTAGGGATTATAAATCCAATGCAAGCTAATTAAAAAGTACAGATTTCTTCAAAAAAGCCTTTAGTATACCAGCAAAGTCATCATGCTAAACATGTTTATGTGAACCTTAAAAATCTACAATGTGTCTCTGAGCCAGGGATGTAGGTACAAGGCCATTTCTACTATAGTGCTGCATGGAAAATGTGGAAGAGAGTATAAAAGGTACGGTAATTTTGTAATATACAAGCACACATTTTTTTACAATGTGCAATCTGTTGCTGAGCCAGGGATGTAGGTGCAGGGCCGTTTCTACTATAGTGCTGCATGGAAAATGTGGAAGAGAGTATAAAATGTAGGGTAATTTTGTAATATACAAGCACACATTTTTTTCTTCTGTCTTTGTACCATGTAAAGAAACGGAATGAATTGGTACTGTAGAACTGGAGAGATAAGCTTGTAAAGCAGTTATTTCATCCCTTTAAATAAAAGGCTTTATTTTCAAAGCACTATCTGTAGGTAATCACTGTAGTTTAATTGCTGCCTATCCAAAAGGAAAAATTTAAATATTTAGATTGCACCTTTGTACAGTATATTGTGAATAGCACAGTAATAATAATGATTGCCAAGCTTCCGAAATCTTACCCTGTTGATTCTTATAAAAATGCATGGCTGTCCTTTTTGAAATCCAAAAGGGTCTTCATCACTAAGATTATAGGCACAATCTCCAAGCTCTGATTCCACGAACTGGCATGCATATTTTGTGCGACCAGGACCAGACAAGAAAGATGCCACATCAGTGATGCCAGTACAGTTTTTATTCATTTTTTGCTGTGTTGTTGTGTTGTATTCTATAAATGCAGAGTGAGAAAGATCACAATTCGTATTGTATACTGTAGGTTGAAAACATGACCCTAAACACAGGGACATTTTTAATCTCCAAAGGACATCAGCAAGAATTTACAGAGCATTTGATTATCTTTTAGCAGGTTTTATCAAAATTCAGCATATATTTCATATGAAGGGCACATTACAATATTATATTAAGTGAAAAATAACTTTTGGTTGCCATAAATAAAAAACTGCTTTTTCCCATCACACACACAGATCGCATACTTTGTGTCAGCCATTACTGCAGAGTCTATTGTTTTCATGCAAACAGGGTCAAATATGACTGCCCCCATGTATACAAATATTTAAAACCTTTACACAAAAGCAAGGTTTTCAGGTTATTAATGATACATTGAGGCTACTTTTTTTACATGCATATCTGAAAAACATTAAATAGACTATAACTCCCTTTAAGTTTCCACAATTTTTTTTTTTAAGTACCGGTATATTAGGTATATGAAGCACACTACTAGACAGTCACACAGCTTTGTGCAGATGCCACCTAAGAAAGATACTTTGAAAATGTACAAATAAGTAACATACGCTCGAGAAACTTGATCAGAGTCTTCACAGAGTTTTCATATGTTGCCTTATCGGATGTGTTATAATATAACTCTATTTTTTCATCACCATAAACATCTGGCCTCATTGTCACACCTGTAACAAAGAAGTACACATTTAAATGTATATGTAATAATTTTTAATGAATGGTACAGCTCAGTAAAACCGAACAGAACAGGGGTGTGTGGCTGGGGTGCCCAGTAGTTGTGATACTTTCTGAAGAAGGGGAGGTGTATTGATCCTCACCCAATCTATACCATTCAATACATTTGGGGGCCACCACTGCTAACCTCGTTCTTTAACTTCAAGTTGTCTGTCTGTTATATTGACCCTATTGTCTTCCATACATTCATAGTCCTTATCCTAAAACAGGTACAATCAAAAAATTCAGTACAGTCAGGAAGAACTGCATACTTGTTCTTGGTTAGTGACTCAAAATAATAAGCCAGAATCTCAGCACTGCAGCTAATTAACTACGATTCACAGAATGATTAATGAGCAATGGCATCTTTCGGGCGTCTCTTAAGAAAGGATTCCTTTACTTTGTAAGCAAGGGGCTACCTTTTGAGATATCATTTGACATCTATGTTTTTTGGGATATCAGCAGCATGGGTAGAATGTGCAGAGGAGCTTATGTGCAGTGCAGAGTCGTAGGCTCTATTCACATCCATGCATTGCAGGAGTACATGTGATGCAGCACACAATCCTACATTGCATGTTGCATTGTTAGGTGTGCTGTGGTGCCATTATTTCTTAATGGTACTCCAATGCACCTAGCCATCGCATGTGTGATGTATCACACCGCATCACATGGTAACATAAAAAAGTGCAATTTAGCTGTGGCAGACAACCCATTCATATGAATGGGCTGCCAATGGCAGTGCATCCTGTAGCACCTCTGCGAAGTTCCATCGCAGAGCTGTGAATGAGGGCTTAATTATTATTATTATTACATAGTATTTATATAGCGCCAACAGTTTGCGCAGCGCTTTACAATGTAAGGAAGACATTACAATTACAATACAATTCAAGACAGGACGGTAAGGAGGGCCCTGCCCCTGAGGGCTTACAATCTGAAAGAGGAGGGGGAAATGATACATGAGGAGGTAGCTGTGTGGGGATGAATTGTTTGAGAATGTGATGGTTCAGTGGTTAGGTTGAGGTGGGCTTAATATTGAGAACAGGTAGCAGACTAGTGATATAGGGTTGATATGCTAAAGGAAAATAATATGTTCACCTTGCAAGGGAACTTTTTGAAAGGAGAGTTCCCCTTTAACTGAGCCTAAGTAAGTGTACCATGGGAAACAACATACTTTTTAAATGCCGTTAATACTTCCAACAATGTAGGCTGTGAGAAAGCCACAGATACATCAAAAGCCTGCACATACAAGGGAGAAAGTTCGGCAGAAGGCTGCAAGTTTGGCTGGCCAGTTGTATGCACATGCTCCAAGATGGCGCTGGCTAGGGAATAAACTTAATTCTGTCCAGCTAGTCCGTCCACCGCAGCAGTGTGGTTAAGATGGTGTCTAAACTTCTCAGGAGTCCAGGCAAGTTCTCTAGCCTGGCAACCGTCTCCCTTTCCCTATCCATCACCTTATCAGGCATGGTGGGGATGACTGGGTCACAGGCCTGTTGGTCCAAGGTTGTGTCCTCCTTGTTGTGGAGATTTACCCCTTGCACCTGGCAGCTCACACAGCGATGCCTAAAATGTAAAAGCTATGCAGGGAGCCCTGGTGACAAGATGTGTTGGCTGTGAGATAAAGGATTTATTTAGGATAGTGTGTGGGAGCGCTGAGAAGCATGTCTTCTCACATGCCTGCTTAATCTAAGTTCCTGTAAGGGAATTGTCGCTTTGCAAAGCTTAGCAAGTATGGTGAAAATTCACTTAGCATAGAATACTCAGTCACCTGCAAGGAAAAAAATAGTATTTCTGCTTGCACAATTTTAGGTTATAAAGTCAGCAGAGCTTCACCTCATTCACTCACCTAAGGGAAAATTCCCTTGCAAAGTGAGCAGACTATTAAACTTTAGAAAATCAATTCCATACTCTTGAAACATGCACAAATGAGATCTAAAATGCTGAACAAAAAAATCTTAATGAGATCTAGTTATCTCCCTCAAAATATTCTATCCATATTTCTCCTTTCAAGTTTTTAGTAATCATGGGAAAAGGAAGGTGCAGTACTTCCATCACACAGTTTGGCTGACTTGTACTAGTGGTAATGGTCTAGCCCAAGAAAACTTTGCCTTCATACAAGTAACACTTTTGAACACAAACTTCAAACTACAGTAAGAACTAGCAAACAATGAAATATATAACTGGTATGGTGGGCATGACTAAGACTCGTCAATTACCTGGAGACGTTATTATGTCTTTATAATCTGGTTCGTAAGGACTGATGGTGTGCATCAGAGAGTAGATGGAAAGAGCGAAAATTCCAATCATAACAATGTAAAAAGCCACATAGTAAAGAATGATGTACACTGTAAAGAGAACACAAAACAAAATCATATTTTCCATCAGACAAATACATGTAATATTGCCACAGACTTACTGCAATTTAGGTTAGCTATTTAATCTAACATTTTTTATAGGAGATTTAACATTCAATAGGTCCTAGTGGCCATTGTCACCAAGGAAAAAAGTAACCTATAACCCAAAATTGTACAGTTGTTACCAGAGCAAGAAGCTAGTGAAATCTTTCAATGGGGAGAAATGTTCTCCATTCACTTCCTGTTGCATCTCTAGGACAGTAAGTGAAAGTGTATCTTCCCCTGCAGGACACAGACAGCAAACATAACTTCATAGGTGTATTATCCCTTCTACACTTTATCCAAAACAAAAAAAATAGAGATTTGGCTCCATATACACTTCAATGTCTCAAATATTATTTTATAAGTAGGCATGATAGGCATTATCAAAATTAAACATGTTTTTTTTCAAATGTTAATACTGTTTAGTGCTTGGCCTTACAGGTGTCTAAGCTCTACTTTAATTTCCTTTTTAACAAAATTTAAGGTATGTTGGTCAAGATACGCAAAACTAGATAGAACCCTATATGTCCCTATGTTACCTGATAGAGATGTAGAAGAGAAAAAACAATAAAGTTGTGCATAGTTTCTATTGCCTGCTATCCTAAAGGCACCCATACCCATAATTAGGCTGGTAAGGTTTTTGTAAACCCTTTACATTGAAAATTGCCCTGTATATGGTCCTTCCCAGACCTTTGAGGCAGATTGATCTGCTCAGATAATGTAAAAATAATAATAATAATAATATTAATACTGTTAAAAAGAGCCAGTGGGAAACACAAAAAATAATATACCCCATTTGATTGGACTTCTTCCCATAAACTCTCCGGTGTCTGGATTCCACATAAAACGGCCAAAATTTTCCATCCGTTGGCTGCATGTCTTCTTTTCATTAAAAGTGGCCATTTTTGATGATCAAGATTGCACCCTTTTAGACAGCACACAAAAAGGCAGCACCTCACTAGACAATCACTCTCTTTTATAGAAGTTTATGAAGGTTGTTTAGATGTCATTGGTTTTGCTGTCAAATCAGATTCAGCTACTCTTCCTGCATTAGCATTGTTATCATCCTACTGCATAAGGCTGTTGATATCTGGTAGCACAGGGTTTGTGGTACATGCCCTTCCATTTTCTTCTACATTCTTAATTAAGCAGCACTACGCACATTCTGTTCAGCAGTGTGTAAGTTCACCTTGATTGTATTATTTACCAAGATAAGAACATAAGAATTTATGTAGCAAAGCAGACTAATCTATTCACATTTTCTTTTGTTAACATTTTCTTTTGTTAACCATTTCCAGGGCAGTGCTAGAGTATAATATAACAGAAAGATAAAACATAATATAATGTTTGTAACCAGTCAAGTAACATATACTAATGTTAACATAATGGGGCCCATTCAGTACATGAATCCAAAGAGCAATAATGATATATAAAATGTAGTCCTCAAAAGACAAACAGTCCTTGAGGTGTAAAGTAGTCAGAGAACCACTAAAAAAATCAATTATGCTTAGGTTCTAATGATTATCTTACATACATATTGTCATTTTAATTTTATAGAGTGGTGGTGGTGTGTTTAATGCTAATTGATACCCAAATTAATATGCTAGGTTCTTTATGGGTTTAAATAATTACAAATCAAGAAACATGCAACCATATTTGATAAATTCCAGTGCCTGGCCTATTCATTTTTTTGTATCATGGTATTTGATGGTGGCCATAGTCATACACAGATCTCTGACTGTAATGCGTAATGCAGATTTCCTAGTCACCAATTCAGAATATAGTACCGATCCTTTAAAGACTAGATGTGGTGAGGGTGCGGTCTAAGACAAAAGTCCTTAATAGAAGAAAGGATGGCACATAAACAACCCTTGTTTAAGTAAAGTATACCTAAAGACAATACCTTTATTTTTTTAGGTACAGAAGAGTTAAAACCTCTGCCAGATCTTTTTGACCATCTGTGTACCATTGTGGAGATTTCTCTTTACTTCCTCTGTCATTTGCTTATTGGACAACATTTTAAAACAATTCCCAGGGACACCTCTTTTTTTGCTTTGCGTCCAGCAAGCCATTGTAGGCGGAGCATTCATTTAACATGGGAGGTGTTCTACGGGAGGCATATTGTAGTCCTAAAGCCTTACTTTGGTTAAACACATATGATAGAGCTGTAGGTATGAAAAACAAGGGGTCTATTCACAAAGCTGCCAAAGGATCCTTCAGCTTCGGCTGATCCTTCGGCTAGCTTCGGTTGCGGGAGCCCTTCGGTTCAGTCAGTTCAGGCTATTCACTATAGCCAAAGGCATATGTTTCTGCGCGACTGAGCCGAAGTGACAGCCGAAGCAGGGCTAATGGCCAGTCAAACACCTCACAAATGGCAGCTGGGTGGAGCCAGCTGTGATCTCACGTCTGGCTCCGCCCAGTTGCAATGACAGATTAGCGTCCACAAATGACCTGGGGACACTAATCTGTCATTAAACAATAACAACTGGGCAGAACCAGCCGTGACGTTGTGGCTGGCTCCGCCCAGTTGTTACTCATTAGCCGGGACCTGCTAGAAGACTCTAACAGTTGGGCGGAGCTAGCTGTCACCGTACTGTACCGAGCAAAATAGCTGAGCCGAATGCCGTTTGGCCCTTATGTGAATAGGGGCAAACGGCAATGAGTGAGCTACCGGAGCTTCGGCTCAGCCAATCCAGATGTTGGATCGGCTGAGTCAAAGTCCTTCTGCACTTCGACTCAGGCTCCGCATGTTCGGCAGACAGAAGTGCAGCCGTAGTCAACTGATGTAGGGCTGATTTTAGCCGATGTAGGGCTGAAATCAGCCATACTGAGCCGAAGTGACACGTTGTTCGGCTCACTTCACTACGGCTCGATTATTCACTCGGCTGCCTTTGGCAGCTTTGTAGTGTAAATAACTACAGAAACAATCATTATGTGCAGTAAAAAAAACAGTGAAGCACACTATAGGTATAAAAATGAAGTAACAAAGCTGCATATAATATCTATATCAGTGCTTGCTCAGGTCTAGACAGTAGTAAAAAGCAGGATTGTTACTGGGATGGTGCAAGACCTGGAACTCCTCTGGGTATCCTGTGGTGAAAAATTATGTTTTATTACTGTGCCACAAGCAAAAGTCTCAAAGATGCACATACACCTCAGCAGTCAGCACCATCATTTTTTAGGTGTAATCAGTTTTAATAAATATTTAAACGTGCTTTACTCTGCAACATTTATCCAGTTTAGAATCTTGTTGTCTTCCAAAATCCAAATTCCAGCCCAGACAGACACTGTAGCAGAAAGCTTCCATTAAGCTTTTAAGGATTAAAGTGACATTAAAGTCACATTTTGGTTATGTTACATATTTGGTGTATCTGTGTAGCACAGACAGATTCATCAATAAACACCTGACAGGAGTTGTAAACCATCAATACTCTAACCAAAACTTTAATTGTAGCCTGTTTATTTATGTGCCCCTGGTATGTCCCCCTTTTGATTTATGCTAGTTAGTACAGTCCTGTCAGGGTTTCTTACCCTTCCTTGTCCAGTTGTCTGCAGCATGGCTTGTTTGTAGTGTGTTTGACCCTGTTTCTTCCTCTTTGGCGCCCTCTTATGACCAAACCTGTTAACATCATCATTCTGCAACAAGTCTGCAATTAGATCTAATTGTCACTAATAATGCAGAGTTAATCGAGGATATTGTAATTGGGGAGTCATTGGGTAATAGTGATCACAATGTGATTACTTTTAATATTGAACACAGAAAAGGGAAGTGTACTGGAAGGACTAGAACCCTAAACTTCAGAAGGGCCAACTTTGATAAGCTGCGCAACCTAGTGGGGGAAATAAAATGGGAAAACGTATTTCAAAACCTAAACACAGACAAAAACGCCTGGCAAATTCCTGTCTTAAAGTGATGATGCAACACCAGTTCACTTTTAAACCATGAACTTGTCCAGTCAGTCTCCACTCTTGTGCGTGTTCTGATCTACCATGTGCTCTGCAGTTGTTCCTGTTCTCTGTGTATGACCCTGGCTCTGGCTGACTGATCTCCTTGTTCCTGACTCCAGCACTTTCTCCATTGTTTTTTGTCATTTATGTTTATTGTTGTTTCCAATAAACTCCTTTTATTTTTTAAACCTGCACTTTACGTTTCTGTCTGGTTTCTTGGTTCCCTAACAAGTCCCTAACTAGATAGTCCTTGCCTCTCACTCCACTGCCTCTCCCAAAAAAGTTGAGATGCGGTGTAAAATCTATATAAATACAAAATGCAATGATTTGCAAATCTCATAAACCCATATTTTATTCACAATAGAAAATAGAAAACATATCAATTGTTTATACTGAGAAAATTTACCAATGAAAAAAAAAGAGGTAATTTTGAAAGTGATGGCAGCAACATGGCTCAGAATAGTTGGGACAGGGCAAACAAAAGCTGGTAAAGTAAGTGGTACTAACAAGGAAGAGCTGGATGAACATTTTGGTTGATTGGCAACAGGTCAGTAACATGATTGGGAATAAAAAGAGCATCTTAGAGAGTCAGAGTGTCTCAAAATTAAAGATGGGCAAATCTTCACTAATCTGTGAAAAGCTCCAGTTAAAAATTGTCGAAAAATTTCAAAATATTGTTCCTCAACGTAAAATTGCAAAGATTTTAAATATATCATCATCTAGAGTACATAAAATCATCAAAATAGTCTGAGAATCTGGAGAACTCTGGGCGCGCATGGGGCAAGGTCAAAACGCAATATTGGATGCCTGTGATCCTCGGGTCCTCAGACAGCGCTGCATTCAAAACAGGCATGATTCTGTGATGGACATCACTGCATGGGCTCAGGAATACGTCCAAAAAATCACTGCCTATGAACATAGTTCGCTATGGCATCCAAAAATGAAGGTAAAGCTCTATCATGCAAAGAAGAAGCCATATCTGAACTATATCCAGAAACACCACTGTCTTCTATGGGCCAAAGCTCATTTAAAATGGTCTGTTGCAGAGTAGAAAACTGTTCTGTGGTCAGACAAATCAAAATTTGACATTCTTTTTGACAACCTTGGGCACCGCATCCTCTGGACTAAAGATGAGAGGGCCCTTCCAGCTTGTTATCGGCGCTCAGTTCAAAATCCTTCATCTCTGATGGTAAGGGGGTGCATTAGTGTGTATGGAATGGAAGCCTGCACATCTGGAAAGGCACCATTGTTAGGGAACCAAGAAACCAGACTGAAACTTAAAGTGCAGGTTTAAAATATGAAAGGAGTTTATTGAAAACAACAATAACTATAAATGGCAAAATAACAATGGAGAGAGTCCAGGACATAGTCAGTGCCAAGCCTGGGATCAGATGCCAAAACGAGTAGTCAGCCAAGCCAGGTCAGGGAGCACGGAGAGCAGGATAAACGGAAACAAAGCCAAAGTCAGGAACCAGGAGATCACTCAACCAGAGCCAGGTTCATACATGTAAATATGGAACAGCAGCAGCACAGTTGGTTGATCAGAACAAATGCAAGAGCTGAGACTGAATGGACAAGGTGAAGGTTAAATAGTGACCTGTTGCCTGCATCATCACTCTGAGACTGGAATTTGCCAGCAGTATAGCCAACAGTCACAGAAAGATGATGTAAATAGGTTTGATCATAAGAGGGCGCCAAAGAGAAACCACAGTGTCACACATGCTGCCAAAACATACACAGCTGACTGGATGAGGAAGGGTAAGAAACCCTGACAACCATCAATGCTGAAAGATATATCTAGGTTTTAGAGCAGCATATGTTCCCATCCAGACTACGTCTTTTTCAGGGAAAGTCTTGCATATTTCAGCAGGACAATGCTAAACTGCATACTGCATCTATGACAACAACATGGCTTCATAGTAGAAGATTCTGGGTTCTTAATTGGCCTGCCTGCA